ATCCGCCATTATTAACCGGTACACCTAGTATATCCAGTGGGAGTGACACCAACACACAGGAAACAAATAAGTGATTTCAAGACCAGTGCAGGGAGGGGTGGATCAGCCACCTGAGGGGAGGGCGGGGTGTTCCCAACACTGACTCTGATTATTACTGCAGGTAATTTCATTTTAGCATAAAAACAGATTAATTCTCCATTTCCTTTTCTTCCCCAGACCAGAATCTCTCCCTCTGAGCTGAAGATGCCTAAGAAGGAAGGATCTGAACAAATAGTTGGTCTAGGGCCGTGGTTGGCAAACTGCGGCTCCCGAGCCACATGCGACTCTTTGGCCCCTTGAGTGTGGCTCTTCCTAAGCCTTAGGAGTACCCTAAATTAAGTTAATAACAATGTACCTACCTATATAGTTTAAGTTTAAAAAATTTGGCTCTCAAAAGAAATTTCAATCATTGTACTGTTGCTATTTGGCTCTGTTGACTAATGAGTTTGCCGACCACTGGCCTAGGGAACCACAGACACCTAATAGGGCTCTGGGGTGGAGGAGAGGATGGGGGTCTGGCTGCAGACAGACCTCAGATGACTCTGATCAGCTGCTCATGGTCTGTGGAACTCTGCTTTAGTGACTGTATTTCCCTGTGCCTCGGTTTCCTTTCAATGAAGGAGGATAAATATTTGGCTGCCAGGTTGTCAGTGAATTAACCCTAAAATACTCACAGCACCTGACCTAAATCCTGGGCTGATTCCTGGTGAACGAGGAGCCCCCAGAGCATCTTCTCTCCTCTGTTCCTCCCTGGGGATGCTGGCCTTTCCCTGGACTCTTCTGAGTCCCCCAGGGCAGTTAGCCAAATACCTGGCCACCTTGTCCATCTGTGCTCTCCACACACAGTCTCAGGTGAAGGGCCAGCCTCCATCCTTGCCCAGATGTGGCTCTTGGGGATGAGCTCTGGCTGGTGACCAGCTCAGGAGCCTTGTAACTTGGGCACCTGGAAAGTAATTGCTCCCAGTCAGCCCTGCCCACAGACCAAACCCAACATGACACAGGCTCCCCAAGGTCCCTGGAGTCAGAAGTCTGGGATCAAAGATCTGGGGAGGGGCTGACTGGGCTGAACTTCTGTGTGAGGATCCTAGGGGCCCCTCAGTCCATGCCCTGACTGATCCCTGTAGAGCAGTGGTTCTCAACCTGGGGGCCGAACGACCCTTTCACAGGGGTTGCCTAAAACCATTGGAAAACACACATATAATTACATATTGTTTTTGTGATTAATCACTATGCTTTCATTATGTTCAATTTGTAACAATGAAATTGGGGTTCACCACAACATGAGGAACTGTATTAAAGGGTCGCGGCATTAGGAAGGTTGAGAACCACTCCTGTAGAGCCTGTCTCAGGGTCATGGTCATGGGAAGGGGTCCAGGGGCTGGATGAGACTGGCCTCCCTCTGCTGAGTCTCTCCCATCAGACTGGCCCTTCTCTCTGTGGAGAATGTCTGCAGGGCTGGAATCCAGGAAGGGAACTCTGATCTTAGGAAGTTTGTCTCCACTGTGTGTGTCCTGCACTAAATGCCCAAACCCAACCTGGGAGATGATGCAGAGGGGGATGGAGGCAGAGTCCAGGGCTGTCAGTCCTGTGTGTGAAGTAGAATTCACCCCACCCGACACCCAGAGGTCAGAGAGCAATCACTCACGGTATACACGGAGCTGTCCGGTTACTATTTCACCTTGAAAAATTTTCTTTATGGCTAGTAGAGTGTAGTACCCTGTATCCTGCAGGGTGACGTTCTGGAACAGCAGGGACCCATTGGGGTATATTGTCTCTCGACTGCTGTAAGCAGGTCCTGGGTGTATTTCTTGAGTATCTATTATATATGATGCAATTTGATGGTTGCTGGCCACACTTTCCCCTTTGAACCAGACATAGCCTCCAAGAAACCCAGGCAGGTTGTGGACATGGAGAAGCACATCCTTCCCTTCGGCAGCATTGGGCGGCACTGACTCAATAGTGAGCTGGGCAGTGGTGGGCAGGCTCCAGAGGGTTACGAGTGAGGCTAGGAGGGAAGAGAGAAATTGATCAAGATTTGGAGCAATGTAATGGGATGGAGAGATGAGGCTTTGGGTCCTGAGCAGGTCTCTTCATCTCTCAGCCTTGGTCTGAGTATGTGTGTGTGTCTCCTGTGGTCAAGTTCAGCAGCATGGCCACCATGACTTCAGCACCTCTGAACCTGTTATTTCCTCTGTTGTGAATACTGTTACCCAGGTGTCTGCCCTCAGATCCCTGCTGACACTCAGAAGTGTCTTTGGGAGACCCCTTCCCTGATCACCTCCTCTAAAGACCTCTGTCTTCACTTTCTGACCTGTCCCTGGGCTGTTCCCTGCATGGCATTGTGGGGACCTAACATCACATCTAGATCTTTCCTTGTCTGTCTCCTCCTCATAAAACATGAGCTTCATGGGGGCAGGGACTTGTCTGATCTTGTTGCACCCCAATGCCTGCAACAGGCTGTAAGTACCTGTGGGTGAATGAGTGCATGCAGGAGGGGCCTGCACCAAAAACATCACCTCCAGATCATGTGCTTCTCCTTCTGCTGAGCCCCCTCCCCCAACCTACTCTGCTCTCCTGTCCTCTCTCCTCAGGTCCAAACAGAAGCCCTCAGTCCCCTCTCAGAGCGCTGTGCTCCCCAGGAGACCCCAGCCAGTCTCTGTCTCCCCTCCTCCTGACCACCCCCAGGGATTGTCCCCTCCTTACCAGCCAGCAGGAGCCCCTGCCAGGGGACGCACCCTCTGTGCGCAGGGGCTGAGCGGGACTCCATGGTGTCTGCTGTCTGTTCCGTCCCTCCCTCTGTGAGAAGAGCTTGGGCCCAGGAACACTCCCAGGCACCTTTGTTCTGGTTGCGTAGGATCTGCTGTCCTTTCTTCCAGTGCATTGAACCTCCTCCCAGGGC